AAGACAAAGCGTTACACTGTATTATATTTTATCTTTAAACTCTGCCAGATGTAAAGACAAAGTGTTACACTGTATTATATTTTATCTTTAAACACTTGCCAGATGTAAAGACAAAGTGTTATACTGTATTATATTTTATCTTTAAACACTTGCCAGATGTAAAGACAAAGTGTTATACTGTATTATATTTTATCTTTAAACTCTGCCAGATGTAAAGACAAAGTGTTATACTGTATTATATTTTATCTTTAAACTCTGCCAAATGTAAAGACAAAGTGTTATACTGCATTATATTTTATCTTTAAACTCTGTAAGAAATAGAATTGAAAGATGGTCACTTTACACAATAAGCGTTTTTCTTATAGTTAATCCTGGCATAGATACGAAAAATTAATATGACATGTATACATACAAAAGATGTTTGATTACAGTTCGTTCCCTGGTAGGTTAGCATTAAGTTTATGGAGTTGCAACACTAAAATTCGAGGTTCGATTCACCGCGATGGACGATACGCAGAACGTCTATTGTGTAGCTTTACGCTAAAACCAGTGAAACAATAGCAACAGTTTATTGACGTTCTTCTATAAAACCAATGAAATGATATATCATTGCATTTAATTTTGTATTGATTAAGTTATATATAAAAGCACAATAATGACGAAAATATATTTAATTTCATCTATACGCACATACTGCCACATTGTGCACACATTCTAACGTTGTACGAGTTGAGTGACGTTTACTCACTATGCTATTCTGGTTTTTTTATGTACGCCCTCTACATATCAGTTCCTTTTTTGTTGATATTCAATAACGTTTTACCTATTAAGTAATAATCTAGTTTTGAACTTCTATATTCACCATTAACAAATGTTAAAAGTGTAATCTAATACCCATTGAACGTCGTAGCACATGTGATGTCGCAAGGCTAGTCAGAGAGATAGATACCTTTCCATACGACTTACCAATAAGCTAAATCTTTTATCATTTGTGCTCCTTTTTTATTTTGGTTTGTACCTTGAAGACGCAAGTCCAAATATTAGCATGAAAGTAATGTATTTTCGAGTCATGAAAGTCGGTTCTTTATATCAATTCATACAAAGTTCAGCTGTCGGACATAACTGTCTAGTATGATCATTTTGAAGTGTGGCGCAATTCTTCCGTTATTTGTAACAGTTGATTAATCACTCTGCAATACTGTCTTTGTTACTGTAGCTTTTGGCTTTGCTTCTACTATAGGCCTAGGATCCTCGAAACTGCCAACTGGTCAAGGTTGGTTGGGACCTCCAACACACACGTCTAAAGCAATGTGGCACTCATGGACAGGCACGTAAGACTTTTACACGCGTGCTGACTTGAAAGTCAGCAAAACACCGGCCAGCACGAGCTCTTGCCGCTGCACGTGTTCTGTTATACTTCTGTAACAACAGAAGTTTTTGTCACTTGACGTTGACACGCTTTACGAACCGAGAAATGAAGGTCAGATGTTGTGGTCAGATAAAATCAAAGACAGTTCAGTTCTACAACTTTTACCGACCGATACAGACAACGATAAGTTGGCTTATTTTAGCGTATTATAACCGTGTTCATTAACTACACATCTGACTAGAAAATAAAACTATTTAAAACAGTAGAATAAGTAAAAAGGTTATTTCCAATACTAATTTGGTCCAAACAGTTTACAAACTCCTCTACGTTTTTGTAGATTCTGATTCATTAACTTCAAGCCAACGTTTTTTTTTTAATACTTTATATAGTAGCTTCATTTCATTTTGACTAATGTGCAACGGCTCATGCCTTTCTTATTTTTATTAACATATTTCTCGTCTGACTAAGTTGAAAAGCCTGATCACTCTTATATTTTAGATTTTTTTATGTTAACTGACTAATTGGAACGGTTTATACCTCTACATATTTAACTTTTATGTTGGTTTCGCTTCTGTCTGACTAACTTGAAATGAGAAAATTTTGTTTAAGATTTTTTTTTCTATTAAAGTAAGGTTGACGCGTGGACAGAAAAAAATACGTACGTGCGTCACTCACCTGGGCAGAAAAGAATGAAGTAAATGTGTGACTCACTTGGATAGAAAAGAGTGAATGAAGTAGACACATGACTCACTTGGACAGAAATGAGTGAAGTAGACGCTTGACTCACTTGGACACAAAAGAGTGAATGAAGTAGGCGCGTGACTCACTTGGACCGAAATGAGTGAATGAAGTAGACGCGTGACTCATCTATTGTTAACGTTCATTCGAGTCATCCAATAATCAGAAACCCCTTCTTTACTAAAATAATACCTTACAAATAGATGGTCTGCATGGAACTCTTCTCCTGTGTAAATTGAAGTTTTGGTTGACCACGGTGAACCTATTGTGTAGCTTTTCGCTTAACACAAAGTTTGTGAACTGAACAGTTCACATGGTCCATATCTTCAACCAATTAGAAGTCTGGAATTTGATTCATTTGTCATTATTCACATCCCAGCTCATCTTTGTCAACAGAAAATGTCGAATTCACTTAGTAGCTTATTGTATGAGTTTATTAATTATTCTGTGTAGTTACTGTTTATTAAGTTTGTGTTAAAACTATTTTAAAAAGAGTACTTTTAATTATTATTATTATTATTTAATAAGAAAGTTGTTTTTATTCTTTATTTTCGTTAGAAAATTAATGTGAAAATTGTATTTACTAGAAATATTTTTTCAGATTATTCCTTTCTTCATCATGACTCAATGATAAATTATCTAGATATACAGAAGAGGTGGTAGTTATGGATGCCGCT